AAGTTCCCACTGTTGCATTGGAATTACATTTCTATCACATGAACTTTGAAGGACAAATTCAAGCTATAGCACCATAATAGCCCAAACTGCATGGCAGCCTGCAGAACTTTCACTCCCTCTTCCCCCTGCAACCTTCTCACCATCTGTACCTGTGACTCCAATGCACAATGAACAATAGGTGTCTTTTTAAAAATATTGTACATCCTGGTACCAAAACAGGCGGGTGGACCAATGGTACAGAATAGAGGACACAGAAACCAATCCACAAAACTACAACTACCTTATATTTGATAAAGGGGCTAAAAGCATGCAATGGAGGAAGGATAGCATCTTCAACAAATGGTGCTGGGAAAACTGGAAATCCATATGCAACAAAATGAAACTGAATCCCTTTCTCTCGCCATGCACAAAAGTGAATTCAAAATGGATCAAGGAGCTTGATATCAAATCAGAGACACGCCATCTGATAGAAGAAAAAGTTGGCTACGATCTACATACTGTGGGGTCGGGCTCCAAATTCCTCAATAGGACACCCATAGCACAAAAGTTAATAACTAGAATCAACAAATGGGACTTACTCAAACTAAAAAGTTTTTTCTCAGCAAAAGAAACAATAAGAGAGGTAAATAGAGAGCCTACATCCTGGGAACAAATCTTTACTCCTCACACTTCAGATAGAGCCCTAATATCCAGAGTATACAAAGAACTCAAAAAATTAGACAATAAGAGAACAAACAACCCAATCAACAAATGGGCCAAGGACCTGAACAGACACTTCTCAGAGGAGGACATACAATCAATCAACAAGTACATGAAAAAATGCTCACCATCTCTAGCAGTCAGAGAAATGCAAATCAAAACCACCCTAAGATACCATCTCACTCCAGTAAGATTGGCAGCCATTATGAAGTCAAACAACAACAAGTGCTGGCGAGGATGTGGGGAAAAGGGTACACTTGTACATTGCTGGTGGGACTGCAAATTGGTGCAGCCAATTTGGAAAGCAGTATGGAGATTTCTTGGAAAGCTGGGAATGGAGCCACCATTTGACCCAGCTATTCCCCTTCTCGGTCTATTCCCTAAAGACCTAAAAAGAGCATGCTACAGGGACACTGCTACATCGATGTTCATAGCAGCACAATTCACAATAGCAAGACTGTGGAACCAACCTAGATGCCCTTCAATAGATGAATGGATTAAAAAAATGTGGCATTTATACACAATGGGGTATTACTCTGCATTAAAAAATGACAAAATCATAGAATTTACAAGGAAATGGATGGCATTAGAGCAGATTATGCTAAGTGAAGCTAGCCAATCCCTAAAAAACAAATGCCAAATGTCTTCTTTGATATAAGAGTAACTAAGAACAGAGTAGGGTCGAAGAGCATGAGAAGAAGATTAACATTAAACAGGGATGAGAGGTGGGAGGGAAAGGGATAGAGAAGGGAAATTGCATGGAAATGGAAGGAGACCCTCAGGGTTATACAAAAGTACATACAAGAGGAAGTGAGGGGAAAGGGAAAAATAATACAAGGGGGACAAATGAATGCCAGTAGAGGGGGCAGAGAGAGAAGAGGGGAGGGGAGGGGAGGGGAGGGGGGATAGTAGAGGATAGGAAAGGCAGCAGAACACAACAGACACTAGTATGGCAATATGTAAATCAATGGATGTGTAACTGATGTAATTCTGCAATCTGTATATGGGGTAAAAATGGGAGCTCATAACCCACTTGAATCAAAGTGTGAAATATGATATATCAAGAACTATGTAATGTTTTGAACAGCCAACAATAAAAAATTTAAAAAAAATATTGTACATCAAATTCAAATAAAATCAGGTAGTGATTGTTTAAACATTGCTATCTTAAAAGTTATCACACTATTTCATTTTTTGGAAGGTTCAGGTTACAGATATTTCCTTAAACATTAATAACACATGGAAAGGATGCACCTTGTGGATTTCTATATGGGGATTTTAGATTCTTTGGCAGAGATATATGAGGTAGCAGGACTTTCCTGATGCCCTTTAAAAACATTACCTTTTGCTGTACAGCTACTCAGGAGGCCAAGGAGGAAAATCTCAAGTTCAAGGCCAGCCTCAGCTACTTAGAAGATCCTGTCTCAAAATAAAAACTAAAATTGACCACAGATATAGCTCAATGATAAAGTGCCTTTGGGTTCAATCCTCAGTACTGGGGAGAGGAAGGGGAGGAACCTACCTGTTGAGATGTAGCTATCTAGTATCAGAGCACCTTTGAATTGCAGATTAGATAAGACAGCAATTGTAGGTCTAGAAAGAATTGCATTCTGCAGCTAAATGATTTCCTTATTTTTGGCAGCACAAATTGTACCTGTAGTCTTGTCATCAAGTTACTAGAACATTGGTCTGTACTCAACTAAGAACTCAGAAACTGTTCCATTCATGTGAAGAGTAAAATATTTTCCATTTGTCCTTGTCGAAAATTTGTTTGTCTTAAATTAATCATTACAGCACAGGGAATAAAATTGGTGTAATACAATTCAAAGGCTACAAACACAGCCACGTGTAGGCATTTCTGCTATAATGTGTTAGGTGTCTCTGAAAAACTTCACATTCTGCAGAACATGTACTAAGTGACAGGATTTGTAGGGCAAATATAGGGTACACCATTCAAAAACTTTTGTAACTATAGCCACAGACCTACCAAAAATGACCCTTGGTACCTAGAAAGGTAATGTATCTCCCCCACCAGGAGGCTTTCATGTAACTGGAAGTTGCTATACCAGTCATTTAAAATTCTCAGAGGGTTGAACTCAAGAGAAGAGATCACTAGTATCTGGGGAAGGGAGCCAGTAGGATAGAGGCAGAGGGGGAATGAGGAGATGTTTTAGTCAAACAGGAAGAATACATTTTTGAGAATTAATTCACAGAAAGATGACCAGAATTACTAATAACATGTAATTCAACATTGCTAAAAATAAGTATCAAATGACTCACACCCCATAAAAGGATAAGTAAGGTAGTTAGACAAGTTAATTACCTTGATTTAATCACTCTTTGTTGTATGGTTTTATCAAAGTGTCACATTGTATCTCCTAAATATATACATGTAATTATGAAAAAAAACTAAAAATATAAGTGGCAAAAATAAATGCTAATGGTTTTAATATAAAAAAAAAATTCTTAGCAGTGGTAGAAACCGTATACCTGCGGCACTTTTCCTGAAGTTTCATAGGTAAGAAGTAGATAGTGCAGGTAGAGGGGAGCCAGGTAGACTGATCTTAAGGGGGACACAAGAATATAATATGTAATGAGCCTGTCTGCCCTCTCCAGAAAAGGATTCATGTGGAAATGCTGACAAAATCTTTCTATGGTAAAGCAGAAAAAGGAGTCTTCTTAGAAGTGCAACCTTCAAACTGAGAATCTTTGTCTTTCCCATTGAAGGTTATGCTTCTATTCCTCCTCTTCTACTCCCTTTGGGGAAAAAAATCATGTCTAAATTGTATTTAAATCATTCCCCTATTCACCAGAAGTGCACAAGCTAGGTTGCCACACAGAAGCATATGTGGTAGCTGAACAGACTATAGATTAAGGTAACTTTGCCTGATTGGAAATGTAATTCATCTTGTAAGGAATCTGGCATACATGAAGGTATGCAACACAAAATCACTATTAGCTCCTAAGAAATAACTACTATTAAAAATAACAAAATCATGATGTCTTTCCTTTTTGTCTTTTGTCTCTGTTTGCTATAAAATTGCAACATACCATGTATGCATATTTGTATTCTTTGTATTTATTCATAATCTGCATATTTTTCCCAGTATATTAAATAGAAGTAAACATTTAGACCATATAATTTATTTAATAAAACCTATATTTTTGGAAACTAAGGTTGTTTTAAACTATGGTATTAAACAACCTTATGTGTAAACAATTATCTCTATCTGATTAATTCCTTAGGCTGAGGAGGAAATTGCTAGGTCAATGAGTACACATACCTCTTTGCAAAAACTACCTGATGGTAGTAAATTAAATATAAGTACCTTAATACAAGGAAAATAGGCTGGTATTATGGCCCTTCTTCAACATGGGCATACAATTCATTAAAATGATAGCATGTAAATAAGTCTCTTGCTCACAACTGTACACCCCTATTTGCTCAGTATCTCACGTTCACCACATGCTTCACAATCAACAGGTCTGTTACATGGTGTGTCTACATCATGAACACAAGTTAGACCAGGTACCAAAAATTCAAGGACCTTTCAGCTCACCTCTGACCTCCCACATGTATTTGCTGACCTTCTCTTTGTGTGTCTACATGTAGCTCTCGTCTGTTTTATCCTTGGCTCCTGATTTTGTCTGGCAGTGACTCTGCTTTAAAGCATAAACCTAGTGCCAGCCAGTGTATGGTGTCAAAACCTTCAGTGCGACCTCTGAGGCAATTTGGGTGAGGGGAGGTAGTATAGTCCTCTGGGATGTGCCCTTCTAATTCTGAAGTCCCTTGTGTATAAGTAGGTGCAGAATGGTTGAATACAGGCTTTGAAGTAAGAACTGTCTGGACCTAAGTCCCAGCTCTGCCCTCTCAGGCAATAAAGGCTTGGTTCCAGGAGCTCAAAGAGGTTGTGGTGCCTGTAGTAACAGCAGCTACAACAGGGTGTGCTTGAACAATGGTAGCTTAGCATCTTTTTGAGAGGAAATATAAAGACAGAACTTGGCTGGGTCACTCCTCAAATCAAATGAAAATAAACCTATATTCAACATAGAGGAATTAGTTTCTGTCCCTTGCAGTTTTTAACTAAATGAGAATTCTGAATAAATTGCTTCCGTCAATCCTTTGGATAATTATTGTGGAAACCAGGTGAATCCAATAAAATAGAGGCAGATGTGGGTGGTAAAGATCTATACAGTCACTATTAAACCTGCTTGACAGAATTCATTAAAGACAAGGAAGGACTATTTCTTTAGGTCATTAGAACTGATATGGAAGCTGATTTTTATTCCTCTCTTTTCAGCCAGCGTATGTCCCAAAGAAGCTAATCCCAATAACAATCATCAAACAAGGTAATTAGTCTGCTCTCTGGGTACCTAAGAACTAGTTTTAATATACTTTTAAACAAAAATAATTATATATTTTCTCAAACACTCTGATTTCTGCTTTTCAGAAAAAAGTTTGAAGAAACTAGTATGGTCTAGTAAATTAGCACTTAATAGGTAATTTGGGCTCTTGTACCAATATGCAAAACCTTGAGCATAACTCTGGACAAAGCAACCATAACAAGTATTAAATTTTTAAAAGTCACTTAAGTATGTGGAGCTTCATTCAGGATTAAGATATCATGCATAAAGAAAGCCATTAATAGAACATTTACATTAAGATGTGAAATGAAAACTGTGATTTAGTGGTCACTTAGGGAGAGTAAAGATGTTCAGGTTCTAAGAATTATGTATATTTCAGTATCCAGTTGTTTTTGTTTTGACTTTGTTTTTCGCATTATTAAAATGATTCCATTATTTCCAGAAGATTCTTGATAGAAGAGGTGAATCCTTAAATAGTTCTTCTTTTAAGAAAACAAAATGTCCTAAGTGTACTTTCAAAACAGGGTCAGTTAGAATTGAAATTATCTCTGCTTCAGGCTGCATTTTGTGCTAGTTTTAATTGACCTGGGGAAAGGGCAGTTTTTCAGGGAGTAGAGATACAAAGGAAATCTTCCAGTAATTAGAATGGAACACTTTATGATAGAATAATATCCTTTCGTTACCTAAAGGCAGAGGTATTTAGGTAATCCTCCTGCTGGCTGTGTAGCCAGACCACTGAATTGTTTTTTATTAATTGATAAACTTGGATTAGGATATTCATAGGACAGATGGCTTCACATTATTAGCTTCTTACTGCCTCCTCTTTTGTTTTGTTTACCTCAACTCACTATTTCTTTTGTATTTCAACAGTGATTCAGAATGTTACTCACAAGGCTTCCACTAAATCCCCAGATAAGACTCCCTATGGAGGACCGATACTAGGTGAGTCAACCTTGAAACCTATGTCTAGAATCAGCAGCTTAGACTGTCTTTTAATAATAGGGCCCTCAAGGAGTTTTGCATTGTGAGAAGAGCTGTTAAATTGTCAGTCTATTTCCTTTCACTGTGTACCATCCTGACCTCTGTGCCTTCCAGGCTAGCAGCCAAGAGACACTGCCTTTATCATGGTGTGTTCAAGAAGAATCTTTAGCCCATGCCCAGTGGGAATGATGGTGTTCATCCTACATGCCCACAGGGTTGTTTGAAGTTACATAGGAGTCTGTCTTGTATTGAACTGCTCTTTTAAAAGTCACTGTCATTGGGTTGGGGATGTAGCTTTGTGGTAAAATGTTTGCCAAGCATGTAGGAGGACCTGGGTTCAATCCCTATGACTACCAAAAAAAAAAAAAAAATCATTGATAATAATCTTGGTTCATCACACATCTTAAGCAGACATTTTATAATTTTTTAATCTATAGATTAAATCCAGAGGATTTCAGTAGTTCAGTTCTAAAAATGAAAAACACTCTATTTCAAAGGTATGATCATATTTTCTCCCAACATTTTAAATTTGAGGTCAAAACTGACTAACCAAAATAAACACTAAGCTTCATATTCTAGTACCTGGTGTTCTGAGCTTTATGTCATGATTGATTGTCTTCCCCCTATCTTATTTATATCTATTTCTTTGCAGTTCACCTTATTATACCAGGTCCTAATGACACCACTGTAAAACTTCCTACATCCATTATGTTTGAGATTTCAGATGCAATCAAGACACAATTAGGTAAGCAGCAAAATTCTACATTGACTTTTCAATGACTGAGTACTAGTACTGACTCAGGATTCTTAGGATATTCCAGGAATCTTGCAAATGAGATGTTTGATGGCAAAGTAAAAACCAGGAGCAAGGAGGTTGGAGTGTTAGAGATATTCATACAAATCACATTCTGTTACAAATATAAATATTTAACTATAGATGTTATATTTATATAAATGTATTTACATATGTTTTATAGACTCATTAAACTATGCTATCAAGGGGCCACAAGATATAGTCAATGAGAACTAATTTAAAGGTCAGATATATTAGAATTACTACACTTGAGATTGATATTGCTTCCTACTTCTAGAAAGAACTGTGTATGATTTCAGTGTTTAAAAACAAAACATAATTTTTGAAAATAGCAACAAAATCCACTAAAAGGGAGGCCAAGGAATAATTGTGGTGGTCTCTGGGCACCTTCTCCTTTTGAGTATCAAATTAGACTCTTAAATGTCCCTGTAGAAGAGGATCTCAAACTTGTTTGAGGATCAGAAGCACTTGATGGGCTTATGAACCTATAGACTGCTAGGACCCTGAGTTAATGATGAAGAGGATCTGGGGTGAGGTCTGGGAGTTTGCATTTTTAACAAGTTTCTAGGTAACTATGACACTACTGGTCCAGGGACCTCACTTTGAGAACCACCCCTCTGTCTCTGGAGAACATTTGGATTGTTGGCAAATGGGAAAGGAAACAACATCATGTGGTACAAACTGAACAAGACATAAAAGAGAAAATGTTTTCTCTGAGCTAAACACTACCTAAGAACTTTAGCATTTAATATGAAATTGAATTAAGAAGTTGTGTGGATGAAGAAAAAACAGAAGCCTAAGCCCAAGTTTGGTAGCTTTCAATCAACAAATACTTATTAAGCATTACTCCATGCCTGAACTGCAAGTTCCTAGGAGCTATAATGGTGAGTTACACAAATTTATGCCTGCACGTACTGGAACTTCAGACACTATACTTCAGGGGAAAGGTCACTCTTTCAACAATGGAGCAAAATTAAGTTAATGCGTTTTCTTTTTTAGTTGAGAGAGAGAAAACACATGGCAAATGAGATATAACAAAAAGACTTTTAATAAAGTATTGTGGAAGGGAGGCAACATGATGGGATAGAGCCATCTATTCTCCATAAGACTGAACAATAACAACAGGTATGTAGCTGCCTGTTGAGGTGCATGACAGGGGGAGAGAGACTGGAATTTACTGAAGAGATAAAGGTGAGGTGAAACCTCGAGATTTTGTATAATAGACTATAGCAAGAGAAAGAGTACACCAGAACCCTGTTGAATAGCAACACATCCAGGGGAAGAAAATTATCCCCTTAGCCTAGGCATAAGGGAAAGAGAAGTCCCAGAGAGCTCCATTGGTACAGAATGCAATCTAAATGCTGAAGAGAACTGGGATTGACAAAGAGCTGATTTTAGTAATTCCCTGTATTTCCCCTGTAATCAGGAGCCATCTTAAGAAAAGTCTTACTGTCTGAGCTTATACTCTTTTGGGGGACAGAAATCCTAGCATTTTCCACTTCAAGGACCCTGTAGCCATTTAATTAAGAGGCTTCAGCAAGTGCATCTCACTGGTTAGTTTTGGCTTGGGGAGTGACTCTGACTCAGGCCTGCTTAGTTTTATGGTATAGGAAATGCACATGGCAATGCAGAATGTGCTTTCCTATAAAATCAACGGTTTAGGTTTACATGCCTTCTGAATCCAGGGAGTGCAGTCTCATGTGGGTTTCATGTGGGAGCCAGGTCTGAGGTCACCATGGTCAAGGGCAGCAGAGCTTATGGATTCTGAATACTGCTGCTCCTTCCCAGCACAAGATAAAGACTCTCTGTGACTCCATCCCTCCTCTCTGCTCTCAGAGGTGTCTGGGTTCACATCACAGTGCTTGGGTTGGCCCAGCTGATGGACTGTGTAGAGTATAAATCAAAGAAGATAATCTTTGCCTGGTACATTTTGCATTCCATGCTAGCTTGTTCCAGCATGCAGTGCAGAAGAGAGTAGAATTGTATCTAGTGTCAACCACAAATCACTCCTGCTAGTCACCCAGCTGAAAAAAAAATAGGGCATAAAAAACCCATAGCCATTGCATGAGAGGTGCATAGTCTAAGAAGACCTGAAGAGAAGCTCTGGAATCATCTACCCCAACACCATCATCGAGCACCTCAGAAAGAAGGGTTTTATTAAAAAAAAAAATCCCCTTTTTCATGTTTTTATGCTTCTCCTTTGTCTTTTTTTTCCTGCTTTTTCATTTTTATTTATTTTTCTCCTTTTCAATTTTTTAGTTTTTTCTATTTTTGGTTTTTATCAATATTTTTGTGTGTGTGTGTGTTGCCAGGGATTGAGCCCCAGGGCCCTGTATCCATTGGATGGGTGCTTTTTCACTGATGTACACTCACAGCCCAGCTGGGAGGAATTATATGTTATTCCAGTGTGAACTTTAACAGATACTTCAACTTAAAGAACAGGGGAAGCAAAAGTTCCCAGTCATCAATCCATCATGCAGGAAAAGTTAGGGAGGGCTCTGAGGTTCACTCCTGGACAGGGACCCACATAGTAACAGCAGAGAGGAATAATACAACCATTGTGAACACCGCATATATAAGGGCTCTCTGCATTAATCATGCCCACGTCTTATCAGATCACACATTGTTAACAGGACTGTGGGTACCACAGAGAGGGAACTGTGATCTCAGCCCATACCTCGCCCTGTGAAACACCGGTAATTGTAGCAGTGTACAAACTAAGAATGAGAGCTTCACAGTTGGAGCAACCGGTATCAGAATTGCTTTCCAGTAACAGATTCAATATCAATAGTACCTATGGAAACTCCCAACCACCTAATAAAGGCTTCCGCTCCCACTTTAGGAATAACCACAGGGTTCACCCAATACTGTGCTGTATATACCAAACCTGCTCAAGTTTTCAGAGGGCCCTCACTCTTACAAGACCTATGAAAGAGTGCTTCCCTCAGATTCTTATACTGTATCCAAACCCACTAGTCACAGCCAAAAGAATCCATGGAGAAATTAAACTATAGAGTCTAATAGAAAATAAACTCAATATTGGACAACAAACCAATACTCTAAGATATGCTGTAAAGAGAAAACTGCTTACTAAGAAAGTCATCATACAAAAGTAGAAGAGCTATCCATATAAACAGATGTACAAATCTCAAAAACACAGGAAATATGAAAAGCAAGGTAATATGACACCTCCTAAAGTTCATAACTCCCTAGTAACAGATTCCAAAAATAATGAAGTGGATGAAATGCTAGATATGGATTTTAAAAGAATAATCCTAAGAAAGCTCAATGAAACCCAAGAAAATACAGATAAATGGTTAGATGAGTTAAGGAAGATAATGAGGAAAATTCAGTGAAGAGATAGAGATTTTAAAAAGAAGCAAACAGAAATCCTAGAACTGAAAAGCACAATAAATCTGATAAAAAATCTCTAATGAAAGCCACAAAATAGACTAGACCAGGCAGAAGAAAGAATATCAGGGATTAAAGGCAAGTACTTTGAAATTTCATACTCAAGCAAAAATAAGGAATGAAAAGAACATACAAGATCTCTGAGAAGCCCTTAAAAAAATCAAATTTTTCAGCTCATCAGCATTCCTAGTCAGAAGAATTATAGGCAGATGATGTAAAAACAACAACAACAACAACAACAAAAACTATTCAATGAAATAATAGTAGAAAATTTCCCAAATCTTGGGAAAGACATGGACATCCAGGTACAAGAGGCATTTAGAATAGATATAACCAGAATAAAAAGGACCTCTTCATGACATGTTAAATTGCCTAAAGTATAGAACAAAGAAATAACATTAAAATATGTAAGAGAGGGCTGGGGATGTGGCTCAAGCGGTAGCACGCTCGCCTGGCATGCGTGCAGCCCGGGTTCGATCCTCAGCACCACATACAAACAAAGATGTTGTGTCCGCCAAAAAACTAAAAAATAAATGTTAAAAAATTCTCAAAAAAAATATGTAAGAGAGAAGAAACAAGTTACATATAAAGGCAAACACTTAAGATTAATAGCAGATTCCTCAAAAGAAATTCTAAATGCCAATATATCATGGGGTGATGTATCTCAAATCCTAAAATTTAAAATTCCAAACTATCAACCAAAATTACTATTCCTAGCAAGGCTTATTCTTCAGAATTGAAGAGAGAAATAAAGACCTGACATGATAAGTATAAACTAAGGGAATTTATGACCACTCGACCAGAATTACACAAAATGCTTAAGGAAATCCTATAACCAGAAGAGAAAAAAAAAAATCACCATTGTGAGAGCACATGAAAACAAAATCCCACAAGAAAAATAGATATACAAATTACAAATAGGAAAGAATCAGTAGAGTAAGCCATCAAACTTCAAAGACCGATAAGAGCAAGTAAGGAATATTTAAAACAATCAGAAAAAAAAATCAGGAATGAGTCCATATCTTGAATAGCTCTGAATGTGAATTATCTTAATTTTCCAATGAAAAGACACTGCATGAGCTAAGAACAAGATCCAACCGTATGTTACCTACATGAAACTCACCTCACCAGCAAAGATATACATAGACTGAAAATAAAATGATAGAAAACAAAATCCAAAAGCAAGCAGGAGAGATATAGAAGGTCACTTTATAGGGAACATATAGGGAACAAATCATCAATAAATTACAGTGGTTATGAATTTACATGTCAAAGCATCCACTTTTGTAAAAATACAAAACACATGTACCAAAAAAACCTACTAGACATAAAGAGAGAGATAGACCCCAATATCATAATTCTGGATGACTTCAAAGTCCCACTCTCACCAGTAGATAGAACATATAAACAAAAAATTTATAAAGAAACTAACAAAAAATTGCTAATTTGATAACAAATGAAATTACAAATTAACAAATTATACTCTAGATAAAATGGACTTAACAGACATTGTCTTAAAC